GCTCGGAGCCCTGGAAGGCTTTGTCTAGTGGATCCCCCTGTGCTTTCAGGAGAGCGAGGCAAGGACCAGCAGAGTCAACACGTGCTTCTAGTTCCCGGGCCTGCTAACGACGTGCAGGATGCTGACGGCATCTGGCAGAGGCTGCTGTGCCCTGGCGATCCTGCTGGCATTTGTGGACATCCAACCTGGTGGTGAGGACAGACTCAAGAGCAGAGACAGCCACCGGGGAGAATATTGGGCTCACAGGGAGGGATGGATCCCCTGTTTTTTTCTGGTGGGGAAGAAAAGGACTCACTCTTCTTGACACTAATGAAAGAGTAAAAACTATAATGTCTTTTTCTTTATTGTTAGAACTAATACTATTGCCTCTCCATCAGACATTCTGCCTCTGCTACATGTTGCAAAGAGCCTAGTAATCAATCTAAAGTTCCTTCAGGCTTTTATATGATGAAATCCAGGTTTGAGATCCACATACTACAGTCTTTGTCAACTTTACCAACCAGTTTAACCAGTCTGTGCCTCAGTTTACTTATAAAATGGGAATAATCATACCTGTCTCTATGGCTATACCAAGAATTAGATATATAGGAAAGCACTTTAATAGAGACCCTATAAAAGTCCCAATGAGAGAGTGGAAATAAAATATAAACCATTGATGAGTTGATGAATGGCTGGGATTGCACCCCCCTCAAGCCCATAAACTACTCTTCTAAGAGGGTGGCATTTAACATCTATGGGGCAGCTGCCATCTCTGCCTCAACATTTTCACGTCAGTGAATTGAGTTTAACAGGTATACCAAGGAGAGTCATACAAGCAAAAACAAGTCTCAGGGGTTCAACCTGCTGAGCGAGTGGGGAAGGGGAGTGGCAGCCTCTGCATCTGTCTGGTGAGTTTTTAGCAGGGAGCCGGATTTAACCAAGGCTGGAGTTTTGCAAGGAATCCTGATGGAGGTAATAAAGCTACAGGAGCTGAGGGTGGATATAAGGGAGTGATTATAGCAGTGTACTACAAGATATAAACTGCATAAGGAAGTGAAGTTGTGAAGAGAGTCAGGGACAGTAAAAAGGTGGTAGGGTCAATGGATTGGAAAATTAGGAGGTAAGAGATCCCCACTGGGCCAAGGCATTATCCTAGGTTAACCCAACTGTCTGTTTTCTCCACTTCCGTATCTAGGCTGTAGATTACTTATGGAGACAATTATAAGGTCTTCAGATTGGCACCATCAAAGAGTTGTGGTCTTTGGATATCAATGGTCCCTCAATAATTTGTCTGTTTCTCCAATCAATTCTCACTCCAATTCCAGATGGTGGCTTTTTTTAATCTTTGGTGTTTCCATGACATTTCTGAACCTCTCATTTGATAGAAAAACTTTTACTCATCCTTCAATTATCAACTAAAGCACTAAATTCTCTGTGAAGTTTTCCTGATTCGTCCAAACTCAGGAATCTCTGCAATTATAGTAAATGTAGAAGTGGATTGTAATTTTTTGCAACTCTGTCTTTACATTAGGCTCTAAGGTTTTTGAGAATAGGCCTCGTGTTTTATTGCTCACAGCCCTAGCAGCACCGTGGTTGGCACAGTGGATGCCTAAACATATTTGTTAAAGGAAAGAACAAATAAACAACTCTATGAATGAATGAAAGCTCTATTTGTTTAGTCCCTTAACTCTCATTTTCCAAAAGAATAAAAACTACTGCCAAAGGAGTTAGGTAACGTGCCTATAGTCACACAGCCAAAGACAGATTTAGAATTTGTTTCCTGTCCACCAGCGTCACTGCCAGGTTGAACTCTAGTATCTCTAATGGTAAACGGCAGTTATGGTGACATTCAAGGAACTCTACCTGGCCCTCCATGGGTAATTCTTCCCTTCCCATTCCAGGATGCATAAACATCACCAGCTCAGCTTCCCAGGAAGGAAAGCGACTAAACCTAATCTGTACTGTGTGGCATAAGAAAGAAGAGGCTGAGGGATTTATAGTGTTTTTGTGCAAGGACAGGCCTGGGAACTGTTCCCCAGAGACCAGCTTGGAACAGCTGAGACTTAAACGTGATCCTGGTGTTGGTGAAAAATCATCTCAGTTGGTGTTCACCATAAATCAAGCCACACCGTTGGACAGTGGGACCTACCAGTGTTGTGCCCAAAGTCAGAAGTCAGATATCCGTCTTCAGGGCCACTTTTTCTCCATTCTGGTCACAGGTGAGTCCCTAATATTACTCCTAAGGCAACCAGGTGGGACAGCGAGCAGGGCTGACAGCTGGAGATACAAGTAGATGTTTCAGGTCCTAGATTGGCAGTTTCCTTCTTGGGAAGAGTCCTTCCCATTACTCAATGCTTTTCCATCACTCCTACTGGCAGATGCTGCCTCTCTTCAAAGCACATG